CAATAAAAAAATACTTCGAAGCATCTATAGCATCAAATGGACCGTAATTTTAGCTTGTACTGCTTGCACTGACTCCAGACCTAGTGCAGCCAGTACAGTGAACTCATGCACTTGAGTTCTGTTGCAATGAAACAAAAAACATCGTCGTTGACGCCATTTTAGGAACAGAAAATGTTTCATAACGTTTTTGATTGACAGAGCTGGTGCGCACTCAGTGCACTTTCCGTTGTACACAAATCGACATAAAGATGTACGTTTAATAAAAATATAGAAACGAATTAAACCACGAAATCCTTAATACATTTTATTGTAATATTTGATAAAATACACTAGTATTTTATTAATTGAGATTTCTCATTTTTACAGTCAGATTAGGTTAATGTAGAACACTTTAATGTGCACTGAGTGCGCATTAATACAGCCCTGTGTAAAAAACGCTATTAGTGTACATTTTTTGAACTAGTGCAACCAGTGCAGAAACAGAAAAAACCTCTATGCTATTCTTCCACCATGGCCAATATGATGATAACATTCTAATTTAGCTAGCAATCTAGCAGGAAAACAGGCATTATGTGCCGGCAAACTTTATATCCATTGTTGATTATTTTTGAAAATTCTTGATTATTTTTAATTTATTCTTGAAAATGGAAAGAGATAAGAAATAAGTTGAACCTCGGTTAAAAATAAACCGGCGAATTACAGAACGTGCCTTTCCTTCTTTTTTTTTTAATTCTCAGAAAAGATGAAGTTAGTCGAAATTAAAAATAAACTACATTGGTACGAGCATTATTGATATAATGAAAAAATTTCGCGCCAACGCGCCAAGAATTTCTTCGAATTGAGGCGTTGATACAAATAAACATGCGTCTTAAAACATAACGATAAATATTTCCTTTAAATGATAAAACACATGAGAAAAATATCAGGGCATCCTTATAATACCGAGATACGAACCTAATTCTCTAAACCTTTCTCTTTTCTATTTGATTTTCTGTTTCGAATTTTACAATTTTAATCTCGATTTAATTTACTCTTTATCGTTTAATTTTTAGAACCAGAAAAAGATAAAATAAAATTAAATCAAAAAGAGATAAAATAAAGTTAAACCAAGATTAAAAATTAATCTATATTAATAGAAATCACGAATGTTGTGGATAATTTGATACATTCTAGAATTCAAGGACCAACGAAATCGAGACTCTATATAACAAGATCGAACATGCAACGATGCCGCCTATGCGCACACAAAAAACGTTAAAAAAATGGGAAAAATCGGCGAAGAAAAGTTTAAAATATACGAGAAGATTTGTTATTCTGTATCAGATATAGTGGGTCATCAACCTCATGTAACGAGGGCGAGTTCATGAAAAACATACGATACGCGCCAAAACTGAATTGCCACTTACATTTTCGTTGGAGAAACTGTTGTTCGATACTAAAGTCACTCAAGCATCTCTTTTCACACAAATTCTCTCTTTCAAAGATTCTGTACGATTCAATCTCTCCGCAACTTCTCAAGAACGCAGTCCACTGAAGGATTCCGACTAACTCTGCACATTCTGAATTCTGAATAACATGCGTGCCTACTGTGGCATGAACTACGCGAAATGAAAAAGATTTCCCTCCGACGGTGAACATTGGACGCGACAAAAGACAACCAATCACCTTCCGTGATGCCCTGATGTCGTTTGCAGCGCAATTGGTTGATTCGTTATCATGGAAGACACGTGATCAGAAGGAAATGCAATATACAGCGATTGTGAGCATCAAATGTCCTTGTTTAATATTTACTAAACAACAAGAATGAAAGGATGCTTAAAGCGTTGTGAACGCCAAAGCGAACACAGCCACGATAGTCCTTCGTCCCTCCGTGATTACCAATAGGAGATATACCAGGCAGAAGCATAATGGAACATACAGTGCTGCACACACTAGTATTGTACGCACTAGTGTTGTGTGTATGTATATATACGTACATGCACCATGCATATTTGAGAAAGTGAGCGGAAAAATGACGAAACCAATCAGAGAAGAGAATGCTATTCGCTCCACTCTCTTTCGATTGGATCTCTGATGATCACGTGATAGGGCGATTGTTCTGGAATGTTCCCGAACTTGTGGATTTGGCGCTAATTTTGTTAATATGTCGTTGCGCGGCGAAATCGGTCGTTATTTGTTTAACGGATGATAAAGAATGTAAAATATGGCGAACGAGCGTAGTGGAAGAAACCCAGGTTTATTTGAGGTTTCAACTTCCAATTCGTTATCAAGAACTTATGGGATTGACCTAATCAAGAGGATCGAGTGTCATTTTTAGAAAGAAAAAGATCAAAGAAAAAGCGTCCTTTATTTTAAGTGTCTGAAACGATAGATTTATTAGATTTAAAAAATTAACATAATAAGTGATAATTTATAATTAAATGTTTCAAAAATTGGAAATTAAAGATTATTATAAAGATATATAAAATATCATTAGACATAAGCACGATTGCCTTTCAACTTCTACTGGAAATTGACAATCTTGCTGAAGATCTTATATTCTGTTAGAAAATCACTGACTACTTCTGAAATTATTTTCTTGTAGTATTCTCTTTAAACAAAAAAAAGATCAGATTTAGCTTTTCTACTGAAAATTGGATTTGGATTTTTGGGAGGGGAAGTTGACATACATACTAGAAAAAGTTATTAAAGTTTTTAAAATTTAGAGTAGTCGAAGATTTACTTTGGGAGCTTTCCAACAGGAGACATAGGCAATACGAAGTGAGTGTTCAATACAATTATTTTTCAGCTAGGACACAGAACATTATACTGTATTCCATTGTAAGATATGAAATGCAATTCCATTTCATAATTTATCATCAGAATGCATTGTGATCTTTCATTCTTGATGATTATATTTAGCATATCAACAACAGATTTATGATTTTCATTTAGACTATAATTTTGTCAGAATTGGCGAGTTTTTAAGTTTTTTTGCAAAATAAGTGTATGATTTTGTGCTTTCCAATTATGATACAAGCCACAATCGTACACAGTAACTAAAATACTGTGTCCGATTGTGTCGTTATTTTATATCACTTCACAATATCAAATTTTTACATTTCATTATTATTATTTTTCTAAGAGTAACATTTCGATAAGAGTTTCAAGATTATATTCGGTAATATTTTGATATACATATATGAGATCTTTTCATGACAACGGTAAAATAAAAAGACTAGGCAATGTTTCAGTTACAATCCAATATTGTCACACAATGTATGATTATCCCATTACTAGACTGAAGCTTGTGTGTGTGTGTGTGTGTGTGTATATATATATATATATATATAT